GACCCACGATCACGCGGGTCGGATCAAATTTGACCGGTGCACGCGCTGGTCAGATAGATCCGACCCGTGTTCGCATAGGTCGGAGCGACCCGACCCGCGTTCGCATGGGTCAGGCACCATCCAGTGGTCGTTTCGTTGCATTCTCGCCTGCTTTCGCCCTCCATCAGAAAATTCAACATCCAATTCATATTTCCGGGTGGTTTCACAACATTTTCGCTCATATTCGGAATATTCGGGACCCACTTTCATACTCCCGGGTAATTTCGCGACATTTTTGCTTATATTCGGAATATTCAAGACCCACTTCCATACTCCCGGATAATTTCACAGCATTTTTGCTCATATTCGGAATATTCGAGACCCACTTTCATATTCCCGAGTAATTTCACGGCATTTGCGCTCATATTTGAGATATTCGAAACCCACGTATGCTCCAATGGATGTACGAGTCTAAATTGTTTCCCACTTTTGACGAGAAGTTCCTGAAGAATATTACGTGTAATAATTCTTAAGGATAACCCGGCAACCTCTGACGGGTACACGAGGTTAAACTGATTTCTGAAACTCCCGGGAGTATACGAGTATAAACTGGTTCTCCTCAGGTAAACGCAAAACCCTAGGGTCAACGCCGGTCAACGCGTAGCCCCAGGTCAACGCTAGTCAACGTGTTGCAATGAGAGTCAACGCCGATTGATATGAAACCCTAGGATCAACGCCGGTCAACACGTTGCCCTAGGTCAACGCCGGTCAATGCGTTGCGATGAGAGTCAACACCGATCGATACAAAACCCTAGAGTCGATGTCGGTCAATGCGTTGCGATGTAGATAATTAGTTCAAAAGTCAACTCAATGAGACGAACTAAATTCAACATACTAATTTCGATTCGAGACTTCGATAATGGTAAGACGATAAACGCAGCACCGGAAGAATTTCAACTATTCGACAAAGTGTTGAATAGGCTGAAATGTGTAGAAGTCACGAACTAAAGCCAGTTATAGGTCCTTTAACACCGATTGAAGGTGAGGGTCTATCATATCCAAAGCATTCCAGATTCCTCTATAAAAGAATGAGGCTGAAACACTTTGGAGGGGGTATATGTAGGCATCTAAAATTATCTATGAGAGCTCACATAAAACTTGAAGCAAAGAGTGGACGCGTCAATCAGCTCGTTCGCATAGGTCAACACGCGCGCATTAATCAACACGCGCATGTCAACCAACGCACGCATGTCAACCAACATGCGTACGTCAGGCAGCCCCAAGTAATCGACGCGTTTGACGGTCAGTCCCGCAACGAAGCGTACAAGTCAACGAGTCGACCAAATACATGAAATGGCGAAAAGTACAAGTCTCAGAAAGAAAAGCGCCAAAAGAGAAAGAACTCGACGGAGGCGACGGACCCGCGCCAGCGCGGGAAAGTACAGGTCGACCCACGCTTGCGACCCACGCAAGCACAGGTCGGATCTGTCTGACCCGCACAAGTACGGGTCAGACCTTATCGACCCGCGCCCCCGCGAGTCAGCAGAGCCCATCGTGCAGTCCAGAGCCCGAAACGCGTTTTCGACGGTTTTTAAAGCGGTTTTCGCAGGATTTATCTGTTCCAGGGGTTCTCAACTGATTTGATATCATCTACAAATATGGTTAGGCTGTTGTTAACTGAAGATAAGGCCAAATCACTCATTCTCATCCAAATACCCACACCCGAGGCCTATAAATATCAGCCCAAGGCCTCCATTTTACAGGGCTGGAATTTTATCAAGACGACGAGGTGTTGCTGGATTGAGGAGTCAATAAGCATGAAATTTCAGCGAAGGCCAACGAGATCCCGGCGAACTTCAGCATAAAGGAGAAGTCTTTCGAAGGATCCGAAGCTCCATACGTCCGTTCCTTGAGATTAGGCTTAGTCTTAATCTCGAGAAAAGCTACTGATTTCGTTTTGTCGATTTTAGAGCTTCAAGGGAATACTTCCTTGGTGAAGTAGGAGCTCCGTTAATTTTACGACAACCGGATCCGATCCGCGGTCGTCCACGGATAAACCCCGGCACAAGCGAAGAACCAACACAAGCAAGAGCCGATAAACGATTCTTGTGTTTATTTTCAAGAGAGTTGTAACTTTTATTTTTGTTATTTGAATTTGTTGTAAATGATTAAAGTTATAATGAAATCGATAATGAAGGCGACTTTTGACGAAAACAGCCTCTTCAGCATCTCCTCATCCTTTATGAATGTCGTGTTCGCCTCCTCGTACACCCAATTGTCGACTTGCCCTGACGCTGTGGCTCGGCTCGTTCTGGGCGTTGGCGAACTCGACGACGACGAGCCTGCCCTTGGCGGCGACGAGGGCAGCAGTGAATTCTTTGGCGATGTTGATCTTTTTCACGCTCAGTATGCCGCCGCGGTTTCTGATGGCGTGGGCCGCGTGAGGAGAAGACGCGAGAGCCGGAACGCGGCGGGAGGTGAGAGAGGAGGCGATCATGAGAGGAGGGAGACAGCAGGCTTGGACTGGAGGAGAGAGGGGATCTAGAGAGAGAATGTGTATTATAGTCTTTACCTGTGTAAAATTCTTGGGCTTTATGTTTTGGGGGCTCAGTGCATAGTTCTTACGAATTTGGGGTTTTAAGAGCGTTTAAAAAGTCTGGGGGGGGTGGGAATCACATTTTCATTGGTTTTGAGAGCCAGAAGCATTTTTCCATTAAAAAAACCATTCGGTGGGACACGTGTTCATAATTGGTGGGTATTTATACACGAGATGTGATGCGCACGGCGCACCCCACCCCACACCTTGTCATGCATACTAAATGCATCGCATATAATTAAAAAAAAAGATAAAATCAATATCACTATGTGTTAATTATTGGTTTTATTTGCATCTATTCATTTTATTGTTTTTTTTATTCTAGCTCCGTAGGCTGAGATAGCCCAATCATTCTCTTTTATGAATGATAACAAAACAGGTCCGGTCAAACATGCAAATAAATTTACATTACATAAAAGTTATGGTCAAAATTCTCGTACTGTATCATTTAGAGTAAAAAAAATGAATTGATCTTGTTCATTTCTTTAAGATTCTTTGATCCAACATTTCGTGTATAATTGAGATTTTTTTCTTAAGGGTAATTTAATAATTTAATAATTTAGTAGGTGTAGAGAGTTCTGTTAAAGTCAAAGTTCAAAGTTCAGATCGAGGGTTTTTTTAAGACACCCTAAGCTTTATGGAAGTAACATAAGATTTAAAAAATGTTCACAGAAATTATGTGCAAAAACTCCATCAAACTTTAGGTCATGTCTATTCTAAAAAACAAATTGTAAAGTGAACAATATTCTACTAGCTTGAATATACTATAAAGGATATTGATCCTCTCCACAGCATAAAGTTGTGAAGAGACAGGCACTTTCACCTCCAATCATTGATTGTTTAATTATCTAAACTAAGATTATCAGAAAAATTATCAAAACTAAGTCTTATCAACACGCACAAGGCTCAAATTTGCGCATATGTGCATTAAAGTTTTCTAGATCCAATTAAGCAAATTCCTTCTTGGGGCTCTATTATTAGACTTGCATGCGCTCGAGGGCCTCTGTATTTCTAGGTCCATTAGAGCCATGAGGAACAAAATATTTATTATAAAGACTTCGAAATTTCCATCTCTTATATTATCTAATACGAGACTGAACTTTCTAGTTGATTTTGAAGTACTCTTTAAATAGTCTAATAATAGTATTGATAGCACTGACAGCTGGCCATTCAAATTTCAATAAGCGAAAGAAAATAATAATAATATTTACTGTGTCACGTGTAAACAGCTGGGTATGACATACTCGAGGTTTGATGCTCCCCCGACACCTACTTGTCATCTATATATTAGTTCAAAAACATCAAGTGTGAATTAAAAAACAAAGATAGTATGAATATGAGTGTAGAACAATTATCAGAAAAATTTTAGAAAGAAGAATTTTTTGATTTAAACCCATTCCACCTTTTTATTTTACAAACCGACCGATTTTTTTTTATTTAGAAGAAGCGGGTCGATTTTTTTTTTAATCTCATCACTAAATAGTCGGGGTTGGCAACCCCGACTATTTTTTCAGTAGAAAAAATAGTCGGGGTTGGCAACCCCGACTATTTAGTGACGGGATTAAAAAAAAATCGACCCGCTTCTCGGCCACGTTGCTGACGTGGCCGAGAAGTGGGTCGATTCCGCTAAATAAAAAGGGAGTCGGTCGATTTCGGTAAAAAAAAGTTGAAATGGGTTTAAAACAAAATTTTGTTCTTTTAGGAAGAAGGGTTCTTTACACATATACCCCTCACATCTTTCATATTTATAACTTACCCAAAAAATCTTTATTTTTTGCGAAATTACCCTCCGAAACTCGCACATTGGGTCATTCTACTCCTCCAATATTAACAATGTTGGCTTTTAAACAATGAAATTGCAAAATTTCCAATAATTTTCAATTCGTTTGCAATATATTCCCATTTAAAATGTAAAGTTTTTAAATGGAGGGAGTGGGAAAATTAAAGTGAGAAAACCGGGTCAAAATTTTGCAATGATCAAGATTTGAGGGGTGATTTTGCAAATACATACCTATCAAAGTGAGGACATCATTTTCAATTTACTTCAAAAACGATTATCCATATGAATTGCACTAATTTTTAATTTATTACTCTAAAAAGGGGTAAGGACGCTTCTACAAGGACCCCAAAAAAGGGGAGGGGAGGGGGTAAGGATTAATGCCTTGGGGATCCCAATTTGGGGACCTAGGGGGGGACAGGTGAGCTGTCTCCCTCCGGTTGGATGATGCACTGTTCATGAACAGTGCATCATCCAACCGGAGGGGGACAGCTCACCTGTCCCCCCCTAGGTCCCCAAATTGGGATCCCCAAGGCATTAATCGAAGGTTAAAGACGCTTCTACCAGGACCCCAAGGGGGGGATAGTTGAGCTGTCCCCGTTGGATGATGCGTTGTTCATGAAAAGTGCATCATCCACAATGCTATAAAAAGAACCATAATGAGAGAGAGAGAGAGAGAGAGAGAGAGAGAGAGAGTGATGGAGATGCTGGTTTCACACGGGCTTTGCCGTGGAAGTGTAGTGCCTGAAGCATATGTATTTTCCGAGGAGCAGCGGCCGACGACTGTGAGCACAAAGAGAAGCATCCCCATCATCGACCTTGAAGAAGGGAGTGAGGATGAGGTTGTCAAAGAGATCCTCAACGCCGCAAAAGAATATGGCGTCTTTAAGGTTATTCGCTGGGCACCCATTCCTATTTTCTTCACCTCATACATTTTCATTTACGATTTGTTCACCACATCTCTTGGGTACAAATAACAACTTAATCTTTTTTTTTAAATGTTTTATACATGATCTTTAACTTCTAGGCATATATGTAAGGGTCTATTGAAGATAGACTCCCCATACTGTGGCTCAATTATTGTGGATTGACACGTATTTCAATTATTGCAGATACACCTCCTCAGTAATTTTTTGGGTATGTTACACTAAATCCTCAAGAACTTTTGGCGCTTTCTAGTAATACCCCTCAATAACTTTCAAAATAGCACTAAACCCCCCAATAACTTTTGCAGAAAATTCCCAACATAAATCTTTTGGGTAAATTACACTAAATCCCCCAATAACTTTCAAAATGCTTTTTTTATGTTGTCTTATGGTTCTAATTTATGGGGTTATTTGCAAAATACAGAAACTTATTGGGGGTTTTCTATAAATGCAAAAGTTATCGGGGGTTTAGTACAACACGTTGCAATTTCACTCGGGGGATTTATCTACAACAATAGAACTACGAGGGGTATATCTGAAATTGGGCAATAGAATAAAAGATCTATCTGCGCGCAATTAATTAGCCTTACAATTGTATGTAAATTAATGTTCCTTATCACCTGGAGGATACATGTTTTGATAATTCATTAAGATAAATTGCAGGTAATTAACCATGGAATTCCAGAGGAATTGATAGACGACGTGATTAGTGTTGCTCAGGAATTCTTTGAGATGCCTGTTGAGGACAAAGCGCCCTACTACTCTGAAGATCCAACGAAAGACACTAGACTTTTTACAGGCCAAGGTTTTAGAAAAGAAAATATTCATTTCTGGAGGGACTGCCTCATTATGTCTGCCTACCCCGTGGAGAAATATGAGCATCAGTTTCCAGAGAAACCTGATAACTTGAAGTAAAATCCAATGTCCCGCTCCATCACTACCTTCCAATTTTTTTTAACATATTAGTCCCTCAAATCTGTAATAATTCCATGTTATCCCATCTCTGGAATTTCACATAGGTCCGTCAAATCCTATGGGACCTTTGGCCATTTGAGGGGCCGATTTGCAAGACCCATAGTAGTTGAGGGACGCATGAGCAGTCACAAAGACTTGCTGGACTAATATTGTGGAGTTACTGAAGATTTGAGGGACTAATATCTAGAAACCCCTACTTCTTAATGCATCTCTTGTTGGTTTATATGTATCTCTCTATATATATATAGGAGGATCATGGGCAAGTTTGTGCCAGAGGGAAGAAAGTTGGTGAGAAGACTTTTGGAGCTAATCTCCAAAGGACTAGGACTGGAAGAGGATTATTTGACTGGTGATATCAGTGAAGGCTCTATGAAGATGGTTTTCAACTATTACCCACCATGTCCAGACCCTAGCTTAACGTTAGGGCTGCCCAAGCATTGTGACATCACTCTCATCAACCTCCTCCTTCAAGGGAATGTTAGCGGTCTCCAAGTCCTGCATGATGACAATTGGATCTCTGTTGATCCTCTTCCTAATTCCTTTGTCGTAAATTTTGGACTTCTACTGGAGGTAACTGATCAATTCATTCATTTTCGATCGCTTATAACTAATTAATATAACACGTGTACTCTCTGTACTAGTAATCTCTGTTTTGAAGTCACTATCCCTGTAATTTTATTTTGGCAACTCTTTTACCCTCAGATAGACTTACTAATTTCACCAGGAGAAATATTTTGTCAAATTTTCATCCGGGTAGAAGAGTCAACAAAATTACGCACAGCCGAAGTGAAACCACAAGAGTAGCAACTTCAGGGATCTACGCTCAACTGACCCTTTTTTTTTTTTTTAATTTATTAAAGCTTTAAGTAAAGATTAATGTTACTTTATATCTCCATCCATTTTCTTAATAGGTTTGTTTGATCATAACAGGTTATATCTAATGGATTACTAAAGGCTGTGGAGCACAGGGCTGTAACAAACAAGAATGTGGCAAGGACATCGATCGCCATGGCCATCAGATCAACTGATGACTGCATCATTTGTCCTGCTGAGGTGCTGGTTAGCGAGGAACATAATCCTCCAGTTTACAGATCCTTCAGGTTTCCTGACTTATTTGAGGTCTTTTCCACCAAGAATGCGGATGATAAAGAAATCATGATGAAGGACTTTAGGATCAAGAATTAATGATAAAGAAATGTACGTCTAAAGGATTTTGTCAGAGTTTTATGTGCTCTCTCTCACCTGTCAATTTCCGTTTCTATTACTTTGTGCTATTTCAATTTTGGGCTTTATTCTACGGAAATAAAAGGGGATGTACAAGTTTGGTGTGGGCTTTTTTATTCTGTATAAAAATTTTGAATATTTTCGCCTTAATTTGTTTCTATGATATTATATTTTGACTGCTATATATTGGAGAGTTTAATTGAAAGCCGACGTCGTGCCAATCAAACAATATCATGTGGTAGCACGTCGATCGACTAGCTAGTGATGAATCTTCACAAAGCCCGTCATTGATAATGTGGCGAGCTTCTATCTCAAATACAAACAAAAATACTATCACGACGAGTGTGCAATAATATTTTATCAACAAAGGATAACATCATGAGCTGGGGTTGAGAATGATCCAATGTGTTGCTTGTGCGGCGAGGAGGAATTAATCCATTCAGCATATGATATTTAAGTACCAGAAGAGCATCGAGGCATGGAAAGAAATACAATTAGCAGAGGCTATTGATAAAGTTATCTCTAAATGGTGGGCTGTTGATTTAGCGGAGAAGATAGATATCCATGCAGTGGAGCTTTTATTAATGCCATTTTGGTACTTATGGCATAACAATAATCAAGTGAGGATGGGCAAGGAGTCGTCAGCTACGTACAAAATATTTATGTCTCTCAGTTAATTTACTCTTTGAGTATAACACGCTAAAGAGTACAAACAGGTTCCTAGAACTCATCAAACCAAACCAGCAAGAAGAAATTTAGATGGACCTTTAATGTTTGTCAATGAAGCTCGGTTAAAGGATTCGAAGATGTATGGATTTTTAGATCTCGTAAAAACTCCCCAAAAAAAAACCACCAAACGCAGCAAATAAAATCATACAAGATTTAACGTGGAAAACCCTCAACAGGAAAAAACCACGGGATCAAAATCAATCCACTATCACCTCCAAATTATAATCTTTTGCACGGATAAAGACTGCCAAACCCTCACTCTCTACACTTCTTTTTTCTTCTCCTTTTTTCCTTTAACAATAGAAGAATATATATAGAGAAACCAAAACCCTATCTCTAGTCTAACTTCCTAATTAGAATAAGATTCAAACTTCCAATCATGATGGAACCCAAACTCCTAATCATGATAGATCTCTAATATTATCTAATTCTCATGAAGTTATACAAAGAATTAAAAACTCTATCCCAACTTAGAGATTGAGTAGATACCCAACATATCCTCCCTCGACGAAAAATCTCCAAGTGTCTCAACGACTTCAGAAAAACGACGAAAAATCTCCAAGTGTCTCAACGACTTCAGAAAAACTCACTCTCTTTTTCTTGTTCTTCACCTCTCCCTTGTGGACAAGAGTCTGAGAAGAGTAATCTGCACCATTAACGGATCGCCCATCTAAATAGCAAATATGATTGCTATTCTCCCTCCCTCGCAAAATCAAATCACCATCTCTATACACATTGCACCACTCTCCTTCACCCACATACTTGTACCCACGTGATGCCATCTCACCTAACGAAATTAAATTAGCACCACATGTCGGTACATATCTCACATGATGAAGAATTCCGACCTTCCCAGTGTGAAGCTTGAGGCGAACACTTCCAACACCTTCAACCTTCATCTTCTCGTTGTTTCCAACAATCATGTCGTCAAATTCTTCATCTATTTTCAATGTGTTAAAACAATTTTTGTTGTTACAAACATGCATAGAGACTACAGAATCTAACACCCAAGTGTTACTCGCATCAGTACTTGTACTCTGTATCAATAAAACCACATTTTCATCACACACAACCACTGAGGAGTCTGTCTTTTTCCTATTTTCTTGAAGATTCATCTGTCTAATACTCTTCAAATTATCACGCATCTGGGAACATCTGAACTGAATGTGACCCTTCTCTCTGTAATAATAGCACTCCTTTTCGCTATCGTCAGCCCGAGATTTTGACCTTCCTCGATAACTGTAGGCGTCTAAAAATACCTATGGGTGTCCGTACACGGCTCGAGACAGAGAAAAGATGATAAACATCGCTATTAGAGTCGCAGGAGCTCGTTTGACAGTGACAAACACATGAAGTGAGTCGATGGGTCATACGAAGCAACGGAACTTCGGAATAACGGAAACGAGAGCTGATCGGGAGCCCCACGTCGTTTACAAAAGGCGGAGCACCCCTCGTGTCCTATTTATTCCACATATGATTCAATTATGGGAGCCTGTAGATCTCCTCGTCGGCTTTCCAACGCATCTTGAATCGCCTCATTCCGAGGTCGGATGAGTGAGTTAAGCCTGTTACAGTACCCGCGGGTCGGAATTTGCTACAGTATCTGCGGGTCGGAATTTCTGCTACAGTAGTGGATCGGAATTCTGCTACAGTAGCAGGTAGGAATTTTTGCTACAGTAACGGGTCGGAATTCTGCTACAGTAGCGGGTCGGGATTCTGCTACGATAGCGGGTCGGGATTCTGCTACGATAGCGGGTCGGGATTCTGCTACAGTAACAGCGGGCCGGAATTCTTCTATAGTGGTAGGTCGGAATTTGCTACAGTGGTGAGTCGGAATTTGCTACAGTAACCACGGGTCGGAATTTGCTACAGTGATCTAACCGTACAAAGAAGTAAAGTTTTGAATATACTGCGATTTGAATCTAAAAAATCTCAAAACATAAAAGTTGTATATCTCTTCGTCATCTTTCCAACGCATCTTGAATCAGTTTAATCAGAGATCGTACGAAAGAGTTAAGTCCAAAATACCAAAAATGTCTCAAATTGACCCGCGCAGCGGCGGGTCGGAGTCGGATCAGTCCGACCCGCGCCCACGCGGGTCGGATCCATCCGACCCGTGCCCATGCGGGTCGGATCAGTCCGTCTCACGCCCAGAACTGCCCGTAACCTCCAAAACGTGTTTTTAGGCTGATTCGATCGGTTTCTTCTGTTCCAGGGGTTCATAACTGCCTAGATATCATCACCAAACGTGGTTAATCAGTTATTAACTGAAGATAAGGCCAAATCACTTGTTCTCATCCAAATAACCGCATCCGGAGCCCTATAAATACAAACCTAGGGCATCCTTTCAGTGGGACGATTGATTATCAAGACGAGGAGGTGCTGCCGGATTGTGGAGTCAAAGGAGCACGAATTTCAGCGAGGGTTGACAGATCTTGGCGAGTTCTTCGGCATAAAGAAGGAGAGTTCGAGAGATCCGACGCCCGTTCCCATCCGTCCCTTGAGATTAGGCTTGGTCTTAATCTCGAGAAGAGCCCTGATTTCGCTTGGTCGATCTCAGCGCTTCAAATCAAATACTTCCTCGGTGAAGACGAAACTCTGCCGAATTTTTCATCAACCGGATCCAGATCAAAGGCGGTCCACGGATAAACCCCGGCACAGGCAAAGATCACACGCAAGCAGAAGACCGATAAATGATCTCTGCGTTTGTTTNAAGGAAGATCAACGCCCCCGTTATTGCGGTAGCTGAACCTTACAACGCCCTTCCGGCCTCCAATGAGTCCGGATCTGCAGATCGCCACCCCTCCTCAATCAAGGAGTTGAGTACAGAAGGCGTGCACACTTTGTCGAAGAGGGCACGTCAAAGGCGACGTCAACGCCTTGCGCGTCAGCTTGCTAGGGCTTTGGAGTCAATTGACGGGATCTGTTATGAGGCGGATCTGAAAATTAGGCAACGCCAAGCACCCCAACAGCGGACAGATGTCCTCCCCTCCAAACCAATAGCAAATGATTGGATCCAAATCAAAAAGATCCGTTCAACTCTGGAGGAGCAAATTCAAAAGCGCTGCGCGCTTGCGCGCACGCGAATTCTTATGCAAAAAGCACAAAAGATGCAGAAGAAGGACATAGCTAAGAAACAACCAAGACTGCATTAAACTTGGAGGCCAAAATCCAAAACGGCAGCCGAAAAGATCGAGAATCGCGGGTCACTTGAATCCGACCCGTCGGCGCACGGGTCACTCCAATCCGACGCGCCGATTTGCAGGCCACTCCAATCCGACCCGCCAAAACGCGGGTTACTCCAATCCGACCCGCCAATTTACAGGTCACTCCAATCCGACCCACCAAAACACAGGTCTTTCCAATCCGACCCGCTAAAACGCAGGTCACTCCAATCCGATCCGCCAATTTGCAGGTCACTCCAATCCGACCCGCCAATTTGCAGGTCACTTGGATCCGACCTTCCAAATCGCAGGTCACTTGGATCCGACCTTCCAAATCACAGGTCACTTGGATACGACCTTCCAAATCGCAGGTCACTTGCACCGGTTACGTCGATCCCTTCGAGTTCCGCACCTCTGGTGGAGCCCCACGACAACATGGATTTGTCCCGATTCAAGGTGAGGATAGTTGATCGCCTGGGTCCTTTGCACAAGGATCGAGGCAAAGTTTTGATCGAAGGACACTTGGGTCCGATGATTCAACCCCGAACGACTCGTCGAGCTGGGGGTCGCACATGCCCTCACAACAATTTCAAGCCTTCGTATAAAGGGAAAACTCCAGTTTTTACCCGCCTGGGGGTGTGTATTAAAGTCCAAGAGCCCGTCAAAAGTTCACGCTTACAAATGCGTGACTCTAAACGCGTGACTCTTGAGAACGCCAACAAGGAGTTGCATACTCAGAAGAAAACGCGTAAGATAAACGAGCGCATTATACCTGAGGATTCATGTAAACAGTCGTTAGGTTACTCCGACGACAACGTCGATAAGTTGTACTATCGGGCTGGGGGTATGAACAAGTCTCGGAAGAGAAGTACCCGGGAATTGGAGTTTCACTGCCCGTGCACTAATATAATCAGGACAGTATTATCAGCATGTAGTTGCCCCAAGACCGCTCCGCAGAGGGTCTCGGTATTTGAGAGGATCTCCAACGGAATAGCTAAGTCCAAACCAAAGCGTCTCCATAAGAAGCGATCGGCTGTTCATGAAGTCACAATAAATATGGCTGATAAGGGAAAGTCGATTCGACCTTCTAGCTCTGACCCGCTTATATCTCATCGTCTAACCCGGTTGCGATCAGGAACTATTAGACAAAGGGATTATCAGAGAATGCAGAGAGGGTTATCCTCAGATAATGAAGCATCGGATGCTAACCCGGCAATCGCTTCTGATAATACGTTATCCAGTCCGGGACAATCTCGC